GGTTTAGGGATTACGGATTAGGGTTTAGGCAGTAGGTTTTGGGGTTAGGGTTTAGGGTTTAGGGTTTAGGAAGTAGGGTTTAGGGTTTAGGGTTTGGGGTTTAGGGTTTGGGGTTCAGGTTTAGGGATTAGGGTTAAGGGTTTAGGGATTTGGGAGTAGAGTTTAGGGATTAGGGTTTCGGGTTTAGGGTTTAGGATTACGGGTTTAGGTTTAAGGGTTTAGGGTTAAGGGATTTGGGTCAGCTCTGAGGTCCAAGCCTGACATCGTTAGATAGGTAGGGATATATGGGTATATGTGGGGAAGTATAGGATACCTGGCAAAAAAGTATATATATATATACATATATATACATATGTATGTGTGGGTATATGTATATACTCACAAGATTCAGGTTTTAGGGTTTACATTTTTAGGGTTTGGTGGTTTAAAATTCATAGTTTTGGGCTTAGGACTTAGGGTCGGGGGCTAGTGGAGAATCAAAAGACCATGAAAAGTGGACGATAATTTCTGTTTATGCGGGATTTTCGGGGTTGTAGATAGGGCAAAGCCAAGGTTATACGTAGGTAGGGAACATCCCAGATTTTATGATCAGCTAATATCCTAAAGTTTCTTATAGTTGCAATTACAGATACTACTAGTTAGTGTTTCGCAAAAATACCCACTTGGCTTGAGGGAGGCCTGATTGCCACGGAGGTCGGCCGAGTTCCGATGCGTCTCCACGCAGGTCCTGCGACTCCGGGGTGTGGCATCGACCTTAGACAGTGTGCCTTGGATACTGCCCCCACCCAGAAGCAGCTAATATGGATACATGAAACATGAAATATACACTTTGATATGGGCTGTCATTGAGCGAGGGCAGTACCCAAAGTGTGCGTCTTGAGTAGCTTGCCTATATTGCGGTGGTGCAGATGCACTCACCACACCCGGGCCAATGCAAGGAGAGAGGTTTGCACGACTTCTGTCCGGTGGTATTCGACGAGTGCCACTTCTGCCTGCTGAACCTCGCCGTACATTCAGCCCCTTGGCCTCAATGGCATAGGGGTTGTTCTCAAAATTATGGGCCCCTTTGGGAATTAGATTACATTACGGCACCGAATACAGTATTTAGGGGTACCAAAATGGGACCCCAATTTTGGAAAGTAGCCAGAAGCCAAGCTAGGACGACTTTCTCCGGTTTTCCAGGCTGTGGTGGATCTTCGATTCCGTGTACGCCCTGCTCTGAAGAAGATGGCGGCGACCAAGCCCAAGGTGGGAGAGGGAGAGGGCTGCAATGATGGCAATAATAGTAATACATGTAGTACGAATAGTAAGAATAATGTAAGAATAATAAGCATAGCAAGACTAGTAAGACTAGTAAGAATAGTAAGAACAGCAATAATAGTAATTGCTTAATAGTAGTATTAATAGTACTAATTCTGCTGCCAATCACTCTGCTTAGGTGGCAGGCCCAGCCCCCCGTGCCGGCGCCAAGGAGGCGGAGGCGCAGGACTGCTAAACGAGGGAAGATCTGCTTGTAGCCGTTTCATTTGAGTAGTATTTTATTTGGGGATATTATGGTACCCAATATGGAGTAAAATTATATCCTCCTTTTGGGGTATAGTAAGACACTACTCATCTTTGGATGTTGCAAAGAGTCGGCTTCTGAGTGTGAGGGCGTCATGGCTGTTGTGGCTGTTGCTGATGCGGCTCAGGGAGACTCCAGACCTCTAAGCCGCCTGCAGAAGTTTTCTCGACCGTAGCCATGGCGCGTTCCTCCCTGTCCTTGCTGATTGCCTTGGCGGCCGGCGCCCTGCTCGCCAAGAACATGGGTCTGGGTTTCTTGGTTGCTGTTAAGGAACTTAATTTCAGTTACTTTGGGAAACCATGTATTACTACATATACCCATCATGGTAAATTAATTTCAGCTCCCTAACAGCAACCCAGGTTTTGTGGGTATGAGGCCGTCCATGCGAAGCTCTTCGGTGGCCATGAGGGCTGAGGAGGAGGAGGGCGAAGTTGAAGAGAAGCCCATCGCCGAGGGTGACCGCCTCAGGCTCAAGGTGCCTAGGAACTCCCCAGTGGTACCCTTTTACCCTTTTTGGGGCTAGGGTTTAGGGTTTAGGGTTTTAGGGTTTAGGGTTTAGGGTTTTCCAAAAACAGGAATTTCAGGGCTCTTCTTGGGATGTGGTTGCTGGACTGCCAAGGTCCAGTCGGCTGAAGGCGATGCCATCAAGGCGGGCAGATGGAATAAGGAATATGAGCTATAGTCTAAACTCCTTAAGGGGGGTTATATAACCCCTTTCAGAAGTATTCCTAGATATCTCCTATATATCCCTATATCCCGCCTTTAAAGCGTATATGAGCTATAGTCTAAACTCCTTAAGGGGGTTGTATAGGGGAGTATTGTCGGGGTCATTAAGAGGGATACTGGGAGTTCAGGAAAGGGCTCATCTAAGGTTTAGGGAAAAGTTTAGGGTTTGTAGAGGGTATGTAGGGTTTAGGGTTTAGGGTTTAGGGTCTGTAGGCGTTATACAGGGTTTACGGTATACAGGGTTTACGGTTTAGCGTTTGTAGGGGGTATATAGGGTGCAACAGAACATGATGCTGGGTTTTTATAGAAGGTTTGCAGGGATAGTTACTAATATTAGGATCCCGGATTTCCTGTATGATTGTGGTAGAGGGTACCTCAAATAGACAAAGATGAATAGGTTAATCATTCAGCATAATTAGGGTAATGGTTATCCCGAAGCTGTAAATAGTAAAAAAAGTCGTTTCCATTGTTTTGCATTCATTCCCTACAACAGGGGGTATATGAATGTATATGTATGTGTATGTATGTAAATATACCCTAAACCCTGAACATTAAATCCTAAACCCTAAACCCCAAACCCCAAACCCTAAACCTTATAATGCAGGATGTAGGCAGTGAAAAGCCTCCTTGTTGCAAACCCTATATCCGCATTCCTACACATCCTTAGACATCCTATAAAGCCATATAGCCCTTAATCCCTAGACCCGACCCTAAATCCTTAACTCCAAGTCCTAAACCCTAAGCCCCTAGAACCCTAATCCCTAATCCCCCTCTAACCCTTCATCGCTATAAAACCCTTTACCCTGTATGACCCTATATATAACCCATCAAAACCCTGTAGAATCCAAAATCGCCCTATATAACCTTATCAAACCCTATAAAACCTATACACCCCCTACACCCCCTAAACCCCCAAACCCTAAACCCCAAACCCCAAACCCTAAACCCCAAACCCTAAACCCCACACCCTAAACCCTACACTCCAAACCCTAAACTCCAAACCCTAAACCCCCAAACCCAAAACCCTAAACCTTAATTAAACTCCAAACCCCAAACCCTAAACCCCAAACCCTAAACCCTAAACCCCACACCCGAAACCCTAGACTCCAAACCCTAAACTCCAAATCCTAAACCTCAAACCCTAAACCCCAAACCCTCAACCCGTAACCCCAAACCCCAAACCCTAGACCCTAAACCCCAAACCCTACACCCAAAACCCTAAACCCCAAACCGTAAACCCTTAACCCCACACCCTAAACCCTTAACCCTAAACCCCAAACGCTAAACCCCAAACCCTAAACCCTACACCCTAAACCTTGCACCCTAAACCCTAAACCCTGCAACAGGAGGCCGCCTCCGAGGTGATCCTCCCCAGCGCTAGCGGCCAGCTTGGCATCTTGGCCAACCACGCGCCCATGACGCTGGGTTGCTGTTTAGGGTTTAGGGTTTAGGAATTTAGGAATTTAGGGTTTAGGGTTTAGGGTTTGGGTATAGGGTTTGCGGTTTAGGGTTGAGGATGCAGGGTTTAGGATTTAATGTCAGCTATAGTCTGAACTCCTGCAAAGGGGGGGTTATATAGGGTGTAGGGTTTAGGATTTAGGGATTAGGGCTAGGTTTGTGGCTTAGGGGTTGGGTCTGAATTCCTTGAAAGGGGGTTATATGGGGGAGTATACAGGGCCTACAGGGGGTAATTAGGGGGATACTCGAGTTTAGACAATGGCTCATGTAGGGTTTAGGGTTGCGGATTTAGGGTTTAGGGCTTAGGATAGAGGATTTCGGGTGTAGGGTTTAGGATGTCTTTTTGTTGCATGGCTAGTCGAAAATGGTGCGAATTGCGTTGAAACATGTGGGTAGTTTAGGTGTTGGGTGCTTAGGATTTAGGGTTCTGTAGGGGCCTGAAGAAAATTACCAACAATGTAGGGATATGTACGTAGTGTTTTCGGGACTATCGGACTCACATGGAAACTACTATATCATGTAGGGAAAAAGGTGTCGGGTTTAGGGTAGGGATGTATGGGGGCTCTGAAGGGGGTTGGGGGTAAATCCAAGATTATATGGACAAGAGGATGGAACATTGAATTGAAGCTAGGGTTATTTAGGGTTGCTGTTAAGGAACCTAAAAATGGGTTATATAGGGGTCATATAGGAGTGTTAAATAAGTTGCAAACATACTGGTACATAGTAAATGTCCTCTGACTTGATTTAAATTCCTTGGCACCAACCCGACACCCTCAACCCCAAACCCTTAACCCTAACACCGACCTAGGATGTCCGCCCTGGATGTGGGCGTCCTCCGATACAAGCAGGATCGGGCCAGACAAAGGGGTTTCTGTAAAGAAGGGGTTTCTTTGAGGGGATGTTGGGGATGTATCGGGGATAGGTTTATTAAGGAATCCATAGGTATCTTTTCTATCCCAAGATATCTCACTTAACCGGGCATACCTATATTTCATCCTATACATCCCTAAATAAGCCTGTAACAGGTATACCTATATATCTCCTATATATCTATCTATATATACATATATATATATATCCCTATATCCCGCCTTTGAAGCGTATATATAGTCTAAACTCCTTAAAGGGGGTTATATCGGGGATTATATAGGGGAGTACTATAATGATCATGAGGGGGGACATGAGACCCTAAACCCTAAACCCTAGACCCTAGACCCTAAACCCTAAACCTAAGCCCTAAACCCTAAACCCTAGACCCTAAACCCCAAACCCCAAATGGCTTCAAGGACGGCAAGTGGGTGCCCGTGGCTGGGTTGCTGTTAAGGAACTTAAATTAAGTTACTATATTGGAGAGACCCTATTATTTACTATATATACCCATTATGGTAACTTAAGCCCTAAACCCTGAACCCTATAGAACCCCATTAGAGTAGTTTCCATTTTCTTTTCCATTATCCCTATATATACCCATTATGGTAACTTAATTTAAGTTCCTTAACAGCAACCCAGGTGGTGGTCATGGGCGGTTTCGCTTCCGTGGACTCCAATCAGCTCTCCGTCCTCTGCAACGACTTCGAGGTGCCAGAGGGTGTAGGGTGTTATTTAAGGTTTTGTAGGCTTTTCAGGGTTTTATAGGGTTTTGTAGAGTTTAGAAGGGCTTTATAGGGTTTTAAGGGTTATATAGGCTTATGTAGGGTTATGAAGGGGTTTCTAGGGTTGTATAGGGTCATATAGGGGTATTCTTGCGCAGATACTGTTACAGGAGATATAGGGGTTGAAGTGTTTGGGGTTCAGGTTAGGGTTTAGGTTTAGTGCTTGGGGTTTAGGGTTTCAGGTTTTGGGACTTTGGATGTGCTTGTCTGATATTGAGGAACGTAAGATAAGTTACGCAAACCTCTACTTAACTATTTCTCCAGATTATGGTGACTGAGTCTAAGTTCCTTGTCAGCAATCGCGGGTCAAGCAGCGTGATCCCAAATCCTAGCTGCTGAGTTACGTTCTCATGTTCTCCTGGAGCTGAATGCACTTCTACTGAAAGTTGCACGCAGGGAGCAGCTGTAATAGTAGTCGCACTGAAAAGAGTGATAGTAGTGTGCCTAGACCCTAACCCTAAACCTTTCACTTTAAACCTGGTTGCAGCGCCCTAAGCCCTAAATCTCTTTCTGTCCCCGTGGCTGTTTGGCATGCAAAACACAGGGGATGGCTTATGACCAACCCCAAACAGTTCACAAGTTTTTTTTCGGATATAGGGGGGTATAGGGTTCAGGGTGGGTTACAGGGATAGATGTAGGGAGTATGTAGGGGTGAGGGGATATGGAACCTAATAATGGAGAATCACATGGAGGAGAACATGGAAGATGAACTGGACACTGGGAGGCTTTATCGGTCTGAGAGTGTCCCCTGAATGAGGATTATAGTTTACTGCGATACACAAATGGGTGCCAATATCTATGGAAATTCCCGTAAACCCTGAACCCGAAACCCTAAACCCTAAACTCAAGCACATTGTAGACAACCTCAACCGCTGCCCCCACACACTTGCAGATCGCAGATGACATTGACATGAACGAGGCCTGCCGCGTCTGCATCAGCATGCGGGAAACGGTTGAGGGCTTAGGGTTTCGGGTTTAGGGTCTAGGGTTTTGGGATTAGGGTGTAGCGTTTAGGGTTTAGAACAGAGGGGCTGCTTTAAGATGAGGCTCTGCTTTGCTGACTCGTTCCATCTTAAACCAGCAGATGGCTGTAGTGACTGGTTGCCGTTGCGATGTGGTCTCTCAGCCGTCTTCTGTTCAAAGCAACCTAATTCAGGACAGCCGTACCCCAAAACATGAACCCCTAAACCCTAAACCATTAAGTTAAACCCTAATCCCGTCATATCTCTGTTATATCGCCTATATCATCCTTTACTTCCCCTTTTAAGGAGATGGGGAGCTCCTTGCAAAACCCAAACACCCAAAGCCTAGACCCGTTTAGGGTTTAGGGTTTAGGGTCTACGGAAGAGAAATATGTTTGCATCTTAAGCTTACTGTGAGGCCAAAGTGTAAGCGCAAGGTGGGTAGACCCCGCCCGTAGGATCATTCCAGAAAAGAGTTCGCAAATTCAAAACCAAGATTCCAAACCCTACAGGCTGAACCCTAAACCCTAACACCCTAACCCCTTAACACCCTAACACCCTAAACCCTAATACCCCAAACTCTAACACGCTGAAACCCTTAAAGGCCAAGACGGAGATGGAGAGTGCCACCGAGATGATGGAGAAGGCCGAGTCCAAGAGCTAAACCCTAAACCTTAAAACCCTAAGACCCTAAACATTTGAACCCTAAACCCTAAACCTTAAGCCGTAAACCCTTAACCTTAAACCCTAAACCCTAAACCGAAAAAGCCTCAACTCTAAACCCTAAATCTTAAACCCTAAACCTTCATAATAGTAGAATTCTCGCGCGGCCTCGCGCCTCCGCAAATTCTGAACCCTAGAAGGCAGACTCCAAGACCGACAAGCTGGAGGCCACGCAGAAGGCCAGGTGAGGTAGACCCAGGAAAAAAGGGCGGGCGTAAGGTCCTCCAAAATTGAGAGGTACTTTTAAAGGGGGATATAGGGGTATATAGGGATGTAGGGTTTAAGGTTTAGTGACTAGGGTTTAGGGTCGACAGTTTAGGGTCTAAGTTTGAGAGTTTAGGGTGTAAGGCTTAGGATTTAGGGTTTAGGGCTTTGGGTCTAGGGTTTGTGTAGCAGGGATAGGGAGGAATGCCCAAGTGGTACTATGCGTTTGCCTCAGCATGTTTTTGTTCTCACGTATGCCGAAGCCGACATCCACATACTAAAGTAATTGGTTTAGTGCGTGATTGCGTGCTCTGTATTGTGCTCACCTCGCGAAGGTGAAGAGGGCAGCTGCGAGACTCCAGGCGGCCATGTTCATGTCCAAGAAGTGAGCCCACGTGGCAAAGCGTAGATGTCCAGGATCACGGTGAAGTGGTTTTTCAACGTTTCTCCAAGAGGCTGCGCAGGCAGCAATGGGAGCAGATGATGCGTGGTGTCATATATGCAACGTCATGCTCACACAGGCACAACAAGCAGTAACTGCACTTTTCAGACTTGATGCTCTCAGCTTTGCACAACTGATCGATAAGGATACTGCTTCGTGAGCCTGATATTCCAACACGCAAAAAGTTGGTCATGGCCGGTGCTTGCAATAACAGGCTTTTGGTCACCCCAACCCCAAAATTATCTCCCTGTAACTCTTAATATGACTGTAACAAGGTCCTCCCTAAACCCTATACCCTACTCTTGGGGGGCTGGGCTTACCAAAATCCTCTCAGCTTGTGTGACCCACGAACAATGAAGGGGTTTCCCGAGTTGCCAAAGTATGTACATTCCGTCGCTATATGGGGGCTTAGGTATTTCAGATATACATATACGGAGGTATACAGTGGATTTTAGGCCAAAAGCCGTGCAGAATCTATACTCGAACAGAGCGCACAAACGAAATGGATCTGGGGAGGACAGCGAAACCGGTGAAAGCCGGGGGGGCGACGTGGGAGTGCCAGCCGCCCGCGACTGAGGTTAGGGGGGTTATATGGGGGTTTCCCAAAATTAGGGTTACCCTTTTGGGGGGCCCCAATGATAAGGACTCTAGTATTTTGGGATCTATATTAGGGTCCCCTTATTTTGGGAAATCACCATATATAGGAGATTATATAGGGGACTGCCATAGGGGTTATATCGTGGATTATATACGGCGACTACGATAGGGGTTATTAAAGAGGATACTGGGAGTTGAGACTATAGTCCAAATGGTTGCCGCCGGTGATGTAAGACATGGTAGATTTCAGGAATAGGGGACCCCAGTATAGATCCCCCAAGAATTTCTTTACAATCCTAATTATAGGGACCCCCCCCACAAATCCGGGAACCCCCCAAATCTACCTGAACCTTAAACCCCAAACCCCAAACCCCAAAAAACAACCCCAAACCCTAAACCCGAAACCCTAAACCCTAAACCCCAAGCCCTGAACCCTAAGCATCTTTGACTGCCCAGGTGGTGAAGCATTCCTTACACTCCTCTTCCGCGGATGGGTCCAAAGTTCATGACCAGGACAGAAAGACTTTGAAATTACATGAGGGTCATGTAGGGATATATAGGGTTGTAGTTTAGGGTTTAGGGTCTAGGGTCTAGGGTTTAGGGTTTAGGGTTTAGGGGGGTCATGTAGGGGTATATGGGGTTGTAGTGGAGAATCCAGATTGTAGAGAGGTTATGTGGGGGGTATATAGTATACAGTGTCGAATCAAAGCGAAAATAACATGGAAAGATAATTGGAAGGAGACCCTAGATCCTGATCCCTAATCCCTCATCCCCAAACCCTAATCGCTAAACCCTAAGCCCTAAACCTACAACCTAAATGCTCTTGCCAGAGAGTACAAGTCTGCTTGTTTGCAAACCCATCCATGAGAGTCTCAGCGTCATATGACCCTATATATATATATATATGTAGTCCCCATTAAGTAGATAGAATGTGGGGTATATGGGGATCACATTACAGTATATCCAAAGCCATATTCTATCTATTTAAGGAGGACTATATCCCTAGATAACTTCATATACCCTCTTGTAACCCTATATACCCATTCATAACCCTATATACCCCTTCATAATTTATAAGCCTACATACCTCGTGACAACCCTATATATATACCTTATCATAATGCTACATACTCTTGTGATCGTTCCTAATCCACACCTGGGATTTTCTGCATTCAGGAGCGACCACCAGCCAGTTGGCAGGCCGCGATCCCCATGCTGTGGGTACTGGGGTGTAGGGTTTAGGGTTTGGTTTAGGGTTGGGTTTAGGGTTTAGGGTTTAGGGTTTAGGGTAGGGATTTCAGTGGTGCAGACATCCAGTTGCCCTTCAGCGATTGTTGGCGGATGTACTGAGCCTGTAGCAGTCTTTCACTGCCCGATCGCCTGCTTTGATCATCGATGTGATAGATCCGCAGTGGTACTGCAGTAGCAATAGAGAAAGTGAAGTTACACCCTAAACCCTAAACAGGAAGAGGGAATTTGGCAGCTGGGGGCTGCAGCTTAGGATTCATTACCCCAACAATGGAGAATCAAATTGAAAAGAACATGGAACTGGGGTCATGTAGGGGTGATACATTATTGTAGGTCTCACCCTTGAGTGCATTCCCTGCTTTCTCAAGTGGGACCCGCTCGAACTGGAGTTTGGGGTTTAGGGTTTAGGGCTAAGGGTTTAGGGTTTACGTGTAGGGCATAGGGTTTGATCAGCGAGACATGCACTACAAGAAAATGCAACATAGCCAACAAGCCCCTGGTCTTTTCCAGTAAACCCTTATCCCTGTGTGCCCCGATTTCACCCTACATACCCCTCTATTCTCCCCCTAAACCCTAAACCCTAGATGACCCTCTTCTTTTTCCAGTCCGCACTCGGCAAACAGGCTGCTCCACCCGCGGCGCTGTCCCTTGCAGAGGCGCTCTTTGCAGAGGCAAGGGCATCACCCCTGCCTTTTAATCGGTTCAGGGTTTAGGGATAGGGGAGCATTATAGGGGTTATTACGGAGGGATACTAGGAGTTTAGATTATACCTCCTATGACCCCAGTTTCCATTTTTCCATATTATGTTCCATTTGCTCAGGCTTTTGCCTCTCCATTATTCCTTGAGCGCTATAGATCCCTATATATCCCCTAGACCCCAAACCCTAGATCCTAAGCCCTAAACCCTATGAAGAGAGGGCAGCCGCCAGGAGTTGACGAAGCCCATGGAGCAGGGCCGGTTGCTGCAGCTAGCGGAAGGTTTGTACAGGCGCGGCTCCCTCATGCTGAGCGGGGTCTAGGTTTGGGGGTTCAAGGAATTTAGGGTTATTGGTTTAGGGTGGTTACCATGTAGGCCCAGTCAAGTGGATACAATATGGGGTATATTGGGATCTGAGTTTCGAGAATTCCATTTTCTATCTACTTGAGGGGGACAATAAGTAGAGGACGTGCGGAACTGCTCCCCGTGTAACCATCTATACCCGTCATAGAACACCCATAAATAAAGCCTCTGTATAAGCCTTATAACCTCTTTATGAAGCCCTTGTCTAACCCCTCATAAGCCCTTATCAAGCCCCTATAAAACCATATACTAGGCGCCACCTGGGTTCCCTGTCTTCCTCCTACGTGCAGCAAGCTGCCTGGTTCAGACAGATTTGCGACGGCCTCAGAACCTACTGAGGGTCAGGGTTCAGGGGTTTGGCGGTTTAGGGTTAGTAGGGAAGAAGGGAACCTAATCCCTGTATAGTCCCTATAACATCCTCCTATTATCCCTGTATAATGTAGTCCCTTATTCCCTACTAACCTCCAGTGAGAGAATTGCTCCGTCCCAGCCTGTTCCTTGTCTTGACCAGCTGTTGGTAAACCTTGTAGTTAGGGATATATCCAAGGTTTGAAGTATGGGCCCCTAGTATGTACCTTTAGGCCATTTAGGCCTTTTAGGGAGATTCTAAGGGCCCTTAAGGGTAGATATGGGGTATATACTAGGCATATAAGGCTCCCAGGGATGAGGGCCCACATTAGGGGCCCATGGCTTCAACCTTAGCACTTTAAGCTACCATAATGGAGAACCAAATTATATATATATATATATCTACACATAAATGAATACATATATATGTATTGGGATGGTTGATGGCAATCCCTAAGCCCTAAGTCCTCAAGCCTACACCTGAAGGCCACGGCTTCATCGCCTTCGGACCGGTTTAGGGTTGAGGCTTTGAGATTTAGGGTTGGTAGTCCCCCTTAAGTAGATAGGATATGGGGTGTATGGGGATCTTATTAATTTACCCAAAGCCATATTCTATCTACCAATGGGGGACTATAGTTCTGTTTAAGATTTAGGGTTTAGGCTTTAGGGTTTAGCGAAGATCACGAGACTTAGGTGATCGCTGCTTCACGCCCCTGCAGCGGGAGGCGCTGCTCGCAGGGCATCCAATTGTTCCTCTTCGTCTTAGTAAGACTATTTATATTCTGACTTTTACTATCCGAATAATTCTACAAGTGGTATGATATTCTTATTCTTGTTATCTGAATATTTCTACAAGTCGTATGAAGTTGTTACTATTGTTCTTCTTCTTTTGAAGCAGGTATTCTTACTGCCCTGATTAGCATTATATTCAAAATTGTCATTACAACTTTATTATCATTACTGTTATGAAAACACCAACATTCTTATTCGGATCGTAAGTGTTTCCCTTACCATTGTGGGTTTCATTGTTGTTATTATTCTTACGAGTATTTGCACTCCACAAACAATGAACTCTAAACCCTAAACTCTAAACCCTCCGCAAACAATGTAAACAGTCTTGGCAGCACTTTCAGCTTCTGCCTCCAAATGTGACAGGTTTCCACTGAAGCTATAATCCTGTAACTTTATCCCCCCCAAACCCTACGACATTTACGTCTAGCCCAACCCGAAACCCTAAACCCTGAACCCTAAACCCTAAACCCATCCCCTAAACCCTACAACTCTACGGCCCTACACCTAAACCCTCAACCCTAAACCTCAACCCTAAGCCCTAAACCCTACATAGGCCGCCAACCCGAGAAGTCTACCCGTCCCTCCTCTGCCAGGCCCTCTTCGGCTACACAGACGACAAGGACCACAGAAACCAGGGCGATTAAGAACTATCCATCGGGTTTAGGGTTTAGGGTTTACGGATCATTCAACCCAAGGCACTCAAATATTCTGGTAGGGCCTCTTGTTGTGGAGAAGTTACGTGCCTACCCCTAAACCCTAAAGGCTAAACCCCAAACCCAAACCCTAAATCCTAAATGCGAAGCCCCAAACCCGAAATCCTACACCCCAAATCCCTAAAACCTAAATTCCAAACCCCTAACCCTTACCCCTATACCATAAACCCTGTACCCTAAAACCCAGAG